CGCTGCTGGCCTGGTAGAGTGCAGCTGTGAATGAGACTAGAGGTGAAGACAGTTTCTTGGTTCCACGTGGTGGAAGCTTTTTGTGTGCTGAGTCCCAGAAAACACTTGTGCAGGGCAGAGATGGAAGTTTCTCTTTCCAGCTGTCTTCCTGGCCATTGGTTCTTTGTGCTGAGTCAGGACAATAGGAGGCCGCTATATCTTAGCTTGGGGGAAGCAGAGAAAAATCACAGGCTTTTTTTTTTTTTTTTTTTTTAATGATGTAACAGTAGATTCTGTTGCCTTCTCCATCCTTGTCTATTGGATCCTCCAGGATAGGACTGTGAGATTATTAAGCCACTTAGCTCTCCTGTTCACATTCTCTGTGTCCAAGGAAGGAGGTTCATGGACTGACTCTTATTCTCTGTAAAGTATAATAATCCTGGAGGTCTTTTTAAAAATATTTACTTATTTGAAAGGCAGAGTGACCGAAGAGAGGAAGAGAGAGAGAAAGAGAGAGAAGGGGAAGGTGATAGGGAGAAAGAGAATCTCCCGTCCACTGGTTCACTCCCCCCAGATGCCTACAACAGCCAGGCGGGGTCAAGCCAGAAACCCAGTACTTGGGCCATCATCTGCTGCTTTAGCAGGAAACTGGATCAAAGCACAGGGTATCCTGGACTCTAAACTGGCATTTTTGGATGCACGAGTCCCAAGTTGTGGCTTAACCCACTGTACCACGGTGCCTGCTCCTGCTGGGGAACTTGATCTTGGCTGTGGTGCTTCAATGTCTTCACACTTAGAGGTCTTGGTTGAGCTCTATGCTCAATCTTAATTTTGAGAATTCTGCTTATGTCACTCCCTGGACTAATTAATGTTCCACTGGAAATACTTATAAATTAGGCTGTAATTCTCCTTTTTTCCTTCTGTATATGGGAATTGGAACCAACTCTATTGACTTTCATTTTGGTAATGGGGATCCTGGTATCTTGTACTTGTGGAATGTGTTTCCTAAACTAAGCCTTGTGTTCCTCCACTAGATGATGAGACTCTTGAGGGTGGGGCCCATGATTTGCAGTTCAGTGTGGCCATAACTATCATTTATTATGTATTTATTAAGCACCATAGACTGCTTTTTTATTTCAATTAATTCCCATAAAATAAGGTACACATAGGGGCTTTTATTTCAGAATGCTTAATTAAAATGTTCAAGCTCATCAAGCTAGTGAGTCACAGCACTTGCTTTTGAACTCAGTTTGACCTCAAATCCTGTTTTCTAAATCATCTTTCTAAATTTCTTAAAGGAAATGATAGATATGCACAAGAGGATAACATACTGGTCTGTGGAAAGTCGAGTGGTGCTTTTTAGTAACAGAGTTGTGCTATGAAAGAAGCTAGAAAGTCTGTGTCTCCAAAGACTTTGCTTTTTCCACCAAGTGACATTTCTTTGCCTCAGTTGCATACGAGGGCACTTAGTGGAGATTTGTTGAAGAAACAGACCCAATCACTTTCAGGGCAGAAGTCACCCCTTTTGAAGGCCTCAGTGCATGTGAGTGCCTTTGTCCTTTTTGTAAAAAGATTTTACTTATTTATCTGAGAGGTAGAGTTATAGACAGAAAGAGGGAGAGAGAGAGAGAGAGTCTTCCACCTGCTGGTTCACTCCCCAAATGGCTGCAATGGCTGGAGCTGGGCTGATCCAAAGCCAGGAGCCAGGAGCTTCTTCTGAGTCTCCTACATGGGTGCAGGGGCCTAAGTACTTGGGCCATCTTCTACAACTTTCCCAGGTCATAGAAGAGAGCTGGGTAGGAAGAGCAGCAGCCAGGACATGAATCGGCGCCCATATGGAATGCTGGCACTCAGGTGGAGACCTAGCTTACTATGCCACAGCATCGGCCCTTACTTTTTACTCAAGTCAAAGAGACCCCAAGATTATGTGAAGTTCTCACTTGCAAGAGTGTGAGATGAGGCCGTCACCGTGGCTCACTAGGCTAATCCTCTACCTGCGGTGCTGGCACCCCAGGTTCTAGTCCCGGTTGCTCCTCTTCTAGGCCAGCTCTCTGCTGTGGCCCGGGAGTGCAGTGGAGGATGGCCCAGGTGCTTGGGCTCTGCACCTGCATGGGAAACCAGGAGAAGCACCTGGCTCCTGGCTTTGGATCAGCACAGCATGCCGGCTGTAGTGGCCATTTGGGGGGTGAACCAATGGAAAAGGAAGACCTTTCTCTCTTTCTCTAACTCTGCCTGTCAAAAAAAAAAAAAAAAAAAGAGAGAGCGAGCGAGAGTTGAGGCAATTGGCTAAATGCTGAAGATGGGAGAGAACATTTTGTCAGGTCAGGACTGGAGGGAAGTCTGCCTTGGTTTATAGGAGATACTCTGTATTCAACCCCTATGCTTGAGGTTTAGACACTAGAATGCATGCACTTGTTGGCAAGCAACAGAGTATGCACAAATGCTTTACCAACTTGAAGCTTGTTGATTGTGTCCAGAGAACATTTCCTTTTAATGTATTTGGAAACTGCAGATTTAATTCCTACTGGGAGTGGAACTAATTGCTTCATATAAGAAAAAAGTAAGCTCTCTTAAAGCCTCAACTCCTTTCACAAATATGTCCTTTTTAATAACTGGGAAATTCCTGCTATAGGAAAAAAATGTCCTTTTGTGCAAATGAGGTCATTCTGGGCTTAACTGGCCCTGTGCACTGTTGTTCCTGCTTTCTGTTCCATGTTTTGTGACCAGAGGTTATTGGAAGGATAATCCCTCTGTGGCTATTCACTGCTTTGGGGGCATGTTGCCAAAGGGAAAGTTATTTTAGCTCAGAAACTGCCACACCAGTGCAGGAGGCTCAGCTCCCAAGGGTATGGAGCCACTGACTGATAATGATGTGGTGTAGGCTGGCCATCGGTTGGGCTGTAAGGCAAGTTTTTAATGTGCGCCAGGCCTGCTGTGCCTGCTCCCTTCTCTTTTGATTTCACAACTACTCCACTGCTGCTTAGTTCAGGAGTTGTTTCTCTTTTCCTAGGTGCATCCCATGTACTCTGCTTTGGTTCTATCCTGATGAGTAGAAACTCCTGTGCCAGTTTGAGGGCACGTTCATCTTTTTAACCTGGCATAAATGAAAAACGGCTGGTGAAAGGCGGTTCCCTCTTGTTTCTCTGAACAGGGCAGTCTCCCTTAAACTCACTGGTGTGTTGGCTTGGCTAATGTGAAGGATATGTCTGAGGCATGAGCTTTGCACCATGGCAGTGTTCTCCCACATAGGAATGTAGAATGGATCTCAGCTGGTGCCCCTGATGTCAATTAAACTCACTTTTCTCTAACTAGAAAATAACCATTTCCTGTTAAGGAGGATGTTAGGGGTTTGAAGAGGGGTGGTAAGTAGGGAAATTGTTGTATCTATCCTAAATAAAGGTGAACATGGAGTAGTTCCAGGTGAAATTTGAAATCGACTTCTGGTATTTCCTTTAAATTATTATTGTTTTAAGATTTATTTACTTATTTGAGAAGTAGAATTACAAAGAGAGAGAGAGAGGTCTTGGAATTGCTGGTTTACTATCTAAATGGCTGCGATGACTGGAGCTGGGCTGATTTGAAGCCAGGAGCCGGGAGGTTCTTCTAGGTCTCCCGTGTAGGTGCAGGGGCCCAAGGAGTTGGGCCGTCTTCTACTGGTTTTCCAGGCCACAGCAGAGAGCTGGAAGAGGAACACTTGGAACTTGAACTGGCTCCCATATGGATGCCGGCACCACAGGCATAGGCTTAGCCTGCTATGCCACAGCGCCAGCCCTTCCTTTAAATTATTTTTAAGACAGCCACATGGAAGGATCAGTGATTAGATTAGTGGTATTTACTCACTGCTTTTTAGATACCTGCACTGTGCTACACTGTTGCTGCAGATGACCTGTTTAGAGACACTAGGTTTGTGCAGGTAATTAGCATCACATGATATTACTGTCACCATGCTGCCTCGTATTTTGAAGTGTGTATGTTGCCATCGTTGTATTCCCCTAAAATTCATCCTTGGCCACAGTGAATCAGTCATTTAATAACCTTTTGATTGCTTTTCCTGCTTGATTGACTCAAGTGTTTATTTGAAACCTTCACTCTCTTGGCACTGAGAATTTGATTCTTGTTATAACTTCTTAATAAAATCTGTGTTCTAGGATCTTTATGTTCCATTCATGGCCCTCTTAGTATGAAACTCCAAGATTGGGCTCTGAAGCTTCAAGAAGCCTAACAATTTCTTGGTCTGGGATTAAGAAATTCAATCTTGAGCTGTCATGTAGAGGAAAGGATTATAAAATTCAGTCATGAGCTGCTTAGAAATTATCAGCAGAACCTGTTATTTTGTTTGTTTTTCTCTTTCTCTTCAAACACTGTAGCTCCTTTTGGAAGCTTCTAGAAAGAAGCCTGGCTTGCAATCTCTTGGAATATTGAACAGGTTCACTGTTACTCGAAGTGGTGGTTGGGGCCCTGGACTACCTGCTTCCCATCTGCTTCAGTCTTTCTATTAGCCCTTTTGGGTACAGAAGTGAAGGAAGATTACCTATGCCTAAAGACATCTCTTACTATAAATGTATTTGAACTCAGTTTATCGCTGCTTGCTAGACCATCCTTGAATGATTTGCTAAACTGTAATAGAAAGTATGAAGATGTGCCCTTTTGTTTCGCTTGGTCATTCCCTCCTGCAGAATACATGCACCTGGAAGGGGAACCAGTGATCTGTTTCTGCAGTATCCACTCGCTCACCACTTCTTCCCAGGGACTGGATTTATTGTGCATAGCCAATGAGTATTTTGTTGCACTTAAGAACTCTTAAAAAATATTGGAACAAATATGGCAAAGAAATCCTACCCTACTTGCAACTGGGAGATTCTGGGCAACTGCTGAGTAACTCGTGTTAGTTCCTGTGGGGGAAAGCACATGGAACGAGGCAAAAGGGTTAATAATGGTGAGAAGCTGTGTATTTGCCTAGATGCTCAGAATGAGAATGGCACTGAATTTGCTAATATATTATTGTTATTGTTATTCTGTAGCCTCAAATAATCCAGCAAACTCTGAAGAGGACCTTGAAGTATTATGAACATCAAGTGATTGGGTAAGTAATTTTTTTTTTTTCATGATTAGGGAGAAATTAAATGTATTCGCTCAAATAGAGTTGTTGAGCATGTAGTTTTATGTTATCAAGATCATCCTTATCTGATAGTGGCTAGGATCTCATAATCTGTGTGGGGTCTAATGGGATCCCTTGGAGTGATTTCTTTTGGCTTATGGTGTTTAGTTCTTTTAAACAGAATTCCCTTTCACCGTTTTTAATTTTTTCCCTGCTTGTGTTCTTGCCCTCTCATTTCAACAACCTCAACATCTGTATTGCTTATCTGGTCAGGTTTATTGGTATGAACAGAGAATTTTGGATTTTGGAACCCTTCAATAGAACTTAATCAAAATCACGACTAACAACACAGGTAAATGGGAGATCTTGGTTTAGCTAGAGTCAGGTTTTACATATTTCTTTGTTGTCCCCCATTTCTCATAGTGGTTGTGGCAAGAGGACTTTAGGTCAAAAGAAAGGAATTTGAGGCCTCACTGTCACACAGAGCTTTTAATAAGCAATTGCATCTTTTTTGTAAAACATGATGGTGATAATAGTAACTCAAGGATTAGGTGTCATTATTAAATGAGATATTCAATAGAAATATTTTATGAAGACAGCTCCAAATGAGTTTAAGGTATGCCTTTGATTAGCTATGAGATAAAGCATGGAGAAATATGAGAATTCCTCAAAACATTTGTGGAAAAATTAAGACAAGTTTAATTTGGTACAGTTTTTTATATATATTATGTTTTTTAATGCATTTTCTATTAATTTTTGGAAGAATGCTTGTACAAAAGCCTAAGGTTACTTTGACTTACAGCCTAGTTTTTTAAACTGGATATACTGATATTAGGAATAATGTATCAATTTATGTTTTTCATTTTCCTTGCTATTCCTCACTATATGCAAAAGTGATTTACTTTTGTAATATTTAAGAACTTCTAAAGAGTCAAAATTCAACAGTGGTATGTTTTGAAATGCTGTTAGGAATCATTTGACATTTATAGTTAACAGTGCTTGTCATGGGGATCAAGAGTATGTTTTTGGCATTAGGATGTATTACAATTATTTTTTACAAAAACAGAAGAAAAAGAAAACTCTTTGAAAAGTAACCTCAGTACCTGGTACAATGTCATATACTTTAAGTGCTTGATGACTATGTTAATTGTCATTTCAAAGGGAATTGCTTTAAACTTTGTCACACTAATCCTCAAGAGTGCAATATGAGGAAGAACATATTTAAACTTCTAGAATGACTGAGTTTGAGGCCATTAGTGATTTCAAATGATTTATCCTAATGGAGATAAGGAATACTAAATTAATCTTTCCCCACACATTCTAAAATAAAACTATTCATTCTCATTGAATTTGCTATTTTCAAAGTATGGTGGTTGTATTAACTTAATTAATATATTTAGAACAGTTTGGTAAGCACTACATATCTGTTTGCTTTATGTTTATCATTGTTATTAATCTTTGTGACAGTGTCAGTCATTAAACTCTAGTCATTTTCTGAATGTACTGTTTTGAAATTAATAGTAAATGATGATATATAGTCTGATTTGTGAATTAACCTATGTGTTTAAGGCAAATTGGAGTGGGACTCTTACAATGTGATCAAAATAGAACCAAAATACATTCAGCAAACCATTAGGAGGATGGGGTTCTTCTAAACTACCTGCCTCAGGCTTCTCTCTATCTGTGTAGACATAACCTTGTGACTATTCTCTGTTCATTGCCTAAATGGTGTTTTCCTAGTTTGTTTATTGCAGACACAATGTAAAGAAAACAGAATTCCACTGCAGTGTTAAGAAGTGTCTCTGATCCCCATAGCCAGGCTAGCATGTTTCTGCTTGGGTGTTGATGGACTTGGAGGACTTAAAGTAGCTTTGCCCACTGCCTTTATTTGTCGTCCTGCTGATAGAGAAGATAAAGGCCAGTGGCAGTGACTTTGTCAGATTTGCCATTCTTGATTGTCTTGCCTTTGCCCTCATCATGAGGCTTCCCTGACCCCCTCTTTTGTCTTTGACTGTACCCTTGTTTTTATTTCTCCTTTCAAAACTGAAGGACTAACACTTGGACTAAAATGTATTCACACCTTGGTGGTGTTCCTCTTAAGGAAACACAATTGAAAACTTTTTATTTCAGTGTAAAGGGATGTGTTTCGAATAGTTAAAGGGATTTCATGTAGTTGAGAACAAGTGCTGACATGTGCTATTTTACATATGTTTGGGGACCTGAGGGGTTGAGCTCTCCTATGGCTTGTGTTGAAGTAATTCAGCTTTTAGGTTGAGACCATGAATCAAGACGGGTGACATATGAACTAGCCCTTCTCTTTTTTATTATTTTTAATTAATTAATGATTGCTTATTGTGATATTTTAATACATGTATACAGTGTGTACTGATCAAATTTTAACAATTAGCATTTCCATCTCCTTGTCATTTATGTTTGAAGCTGTTGAGCTCCTCTCTTCTAGTTGATAAAATTTGTATAATTGGTTATTGTGAAGTATAGTCACTCCACTGCACTGGAACACAAGAACTCTTTGCTCCTGGGTGCCAGTTTGAGTCCCAGCTGATCCACTTCTGATCCAGCTCACCAATAATGTGCCTGGGAAAGCAGTGGAAGATGGCCCAAGTGCTTGGGCCCTGCACCCACCTGGGAGACCTGGAAGAAGCTCCTGGCCTGTTGTGGCCATCTTGGGGAATGAAACAGTTGAGGGAAGATTGATTGTCTCTCGCTCTCTCACTCACTCTCTTGCTCTGCCTCTCCCTTTCTCTCTGTAACTGTGCCTTTGAAATAAATGTTTAAAAATGTTCAGGAAAATGGAATTAAATCAGTTTAATTAAATAAGTTTATTTAAAAAAACCTTCCTCCTATCTCTGTTTGCTACCTGTTACCACCCTCCCTCCCTCCTCCTCCTCTCTACACTCCCCAGCCTCTGCTAATCATCATTCTACTTTCACATGGACTTTTTCAGCTTCCACATAGGAGAGAAGACCTGCAGTAATTTCTTAATTAAGCCTCTAATCACTGACTTCTTCTTTGTCCCTTTCCTCTCCTTTCAAACTCTGCCCTTCGATCTGCTGCACTTGTCAGAGATCCAGGACTGTGTAATTCTGCTCCTTGAATTATTGTCCTGGTTGCCCATAGAAACTCGAGGCTTTTTTCCTCTCCCAGGGTCTAGATGGGAATGCTAGGAGCAGCTGCTCCAAGGGTCACAGATGCAAGGACTGAGAGGGAGCAACTGATGGAGAGCCTCTCGTTAGAGTCAGGTAGCCTCTCTCTACCACAGCTGCTTTATCTTGAAACGTTTATCCTACTCTTTAAATTATCCATCCTCTTGTTCTTTATTAAGAGAGCTCATTCAAGTTGGGAAAATGAGTGTTGAAATAATTCGTGCAGTGTGATAAATCTTCTCTTCATCTTACTGTTATCATTTATCGTCTCTCAGTGAGACATTACAATCTAGTTTTCTGGCCTATTCTCCTGTTCCCTAACATTGTAATTTCACCACAGCAGAGTGGTTGAAAAAGTAGATGGTGCCACTGTCTTACTTGAAACCAGTGCTTCTCTATGTGTATCAGAATCACCTGGCAGGATTGTTAAAACACAGATTGCTGGGCCCTACTCTTAGAGTTTCTGATTCAGTATGTCCCAGTCAGGCTTAATAACTGGCAGTTCTAACAAGTTCCCAGGGAATGCTGACTTTGCTAGTCCAACTTTGAAACCCCTGCTTTAAACTGTATAATTGAAATAATAAAATATTTTTATGATTTTATTTATTTGAGAGAGTTACAGAGAGGTAGAGACAGAGAGAGGTCTTCCATCTGCTGGTTCACTCCCCAAATGACGGCAACTGTGGAGCTGGGCCAATCAAAAGCCAGGTGCCAGGAGCTTCATCTGGGTCTCCCACACAGGTACAGGGGCCGAAGCACTTGGGCTGTCTTTCACTCCTTTCCCAGGCTATAGTAGAGAACTGGATCAGAAGAGGAGCAGCCAGAACATGAACCAGCATCCATATGGGATGCTAACACTGCAAGTTGGTTTCTTGATTCCACCAAGTTTAGCTTAAGGGCCTTTGCACATAGTGTTCCATTGCCTTGGGATGCTGTGTCCCCAGATGTTTGCATAACTTATTATTTATTTTTTTTAAGATTTATTTACTTGAAAGTTAAGAGTTAGAGAAGGAGTGGCAGAGAGAGAGAGAGGTCTTCCATCCGATCCGCTGGTTCACTCCCCAATCGGCAGCAGTGGTGAGAGCTGCACTGATCCAAAGCCAAGAGCCGGGATCTTCCTCCAGATCTCCCACGTGGGTGCAGAGGCCCAAGGACTTAGGCCATCCTCCACTGCTTTCCCATGCCATAGAAGAGAGATGGATCGGAAGTGGAGCAGCTGGGTCTCGAACGGGTGCCCATATGGGATGCCGGTGCCCCAGGCCAGGGCGTTAACCCTCTGTGTCACAGTGCTGGCCCCTATATTAGTTCTCTTTTAAGAAACAATTATTTGTTTTCATTTTATCTTTTACAGGCAAAGTGGATAGTGAGAGAGAGACAGAGAGAAAGGTCTTCCTTTTGCCGTTGGTTCACCCTCCAATGGCCGTCACGGCCGGCGCACTGCGGCCGGCGCACCACACTGATCCGAAGGCAGGGGCCAGGTGCTTCTCCTGGTCTCCCATGGGGTGCAGGGCCCAAGCACTTGGGCCATCCTCCACTGCCTTCCCAGGCCACAGCAGAGAGCTGGCCTGGAAGAGGGGCAACTGGGAAAGAATCTGGCGCCCCGACCGGGACTGGAACCCGGTGTGCCGGCGCCGCTAGGTGGAGGATTAGCCTACTGAGCCGTGGCGCCGGCCTTCATTTTATCTTAAATGATGAGAAATGCAAGTAGAGAGACAGAGAAACACCCATACACACACACACACACACAGAGAGAGAAATCTTTTATCTGCAGCTTAACTCCTCAAATGCCTGCAACAGCCAAGGAGGAACCAGGTCAAAGCCAGGAGCCAAGAACGCCATCTGGGTCTCCCACTTGGGTGTCAGGGACCCAAGTACTTGAGACACTATAGCTTCTTCCTGGGAAGCACATTAACAGAGAGTTGGATTAGAAGCAGAGTACCAGAACTGAAAACAGATATTCCAGTAAGGCTGGGTATCCCAAGCAAAGTCCTAACTGCTGTGCTAAAGACCTGCCTGTGTTAGTTGATCTTTAATGTAAGCTTCTAGGGAGTGAACCAACTTCCTGGGAAGCATGTAGTCAAATAGTGAGAAATGAAAGATGCCAGTTGGAGACAGGCAAGGTGCATATTAGGAATTAAAAATTCAGGATTGAGGAACAGCTGTTTATGATGGCATTTCCCCCTTCATGTCCCTTGTTGTCATATTGTGTCCTTTCTTCTTTCTTTTTTTTTTTTTTGTTCTGGAGAGATTGTGCTTCGGGGGTGATGCATAAGATGTACTAGACTTAAAATTCGGTATTGTTATTAAAATAATGTTGGATAGGTTATTTAAAATCCCCAAGCTTCAGTTTTCTCTTTTAAAATGGGAATGACAACAGGGTTAGGGTGAAGATTAAATGTAAAATTTTTGATATTAATGTGTTAAATTATGTAGTCATGTAAAATAGTACAGCACCTGATAGACAAGGTTATCATTACATTGGTTGACTTATTCCTACCACTGTCAGTATCTCTTCTGCATTTCAGTTTTTGTTGATTGCCCCCTTTTTTTTTAAATTTTGTTTGAGTGGTAGAGTTACAAACAGGGAGGGAGAAACAGAGAAAGAGGTCTTCAATCTGCTGGTTCACTCCTCAAATGACCGCAATGGCCAGAGCTGGGGTGATCTGAAGCCAGGAGCTTCTTCTAGATCTGCCATGTGGGTACAAGGGATCAAGCACTTGGGCCATCTTCTGCTGATTTCCAAGGCCATAGCAGAGAGCTTGATTGGAAGAGGGGCAGCCAGGACTCAAACCGGTGCCCATATGGGATGCCAACACTGTAGGCGGAGGCTTAGCCCATAATGCCACAGCGCCGGACCCCTGTTGATTGTCTTTCACTTTGTCTTCCTGGTCTATCCTTTCCAAGTCTCTTTGGGCATTTGCAAGTTGAGAATAATTTCTTGTAGCATCTGCAGCAAGATACACCCAGTTTATCTTTGGGTAGTCTTCTTGTTATGCAGAATTCCTTTTCTCATTTTTTTGTTCAAATTTCTTTTAAAAGTTAGATCTTCCATCTGCTGACTCACTGCCAAAATGCCCACTACAACTAGGACTGGGCCAGGCCAAAGCCAGAAGCCTGGAAGTCTGTCTAGGTCTCTCACCTAGATGGTAGGGATCCAAGTATTTGAGCCCTCATCTGCTTCCTCCCAGGTTGCTGATTAGTTAGAAGCTGGATTGGAAGCAAAACTCAAGCCAGGAATTCTGATAGGGGTGTTTCAGTAGATAGCTTTTAAGCCACTGTGCCAGACTTCTGCCTCTGGCCTAAATTTCTGTCTTTAGAGTGTCCAACCCAGTGTTTCTTATTTACATTTATTCTCTGACTCCAGCTAGTCTATAGCTCACACAAATGGAATACCATGGCATTATAAACAAAGCATAGATTCATTTAGTGAACTATGGTAGAAAGCACATGGTGATCTTTCTGAACTGTAACATTTGTTAATTATACATTTTCAACAGTTAAGCATAAAGAAAGACATATTCAGAATCGTGCTATTCACTTTACAGTTTTTATTAGGTAAGCACATTTGTGTTACTATCACATGGAAGAACTGCTGGCAACCTGTTATGAGCCTAGGACACTATTTCCTGTAGTCATCTAAAATTAAATTCTATTACTCTCATTTTTGCTGTGGTTCCTATGTTTGTTTTATACACCCAATCTTCTATTCTTTTTTCCTTTGAGCAGTTAAATAGAGATTAAACTAGAATAATTTTAAAAGAATGCTGGAAGTAAAATTATAAGTAGGTGAACTCTGATTATTCTAGAACACGCACTTCAAGGATATTATATATGCATTATGATTGGATGTTGTGGTTGTGAATTATTTAAAGAGTGATACAGCTTTTTCACATATTCATATACAATAACTATCTCTTAGCAAAAGCTAAGTTTGACAAAAGCTAGGATCTGTTGATTGCTTACTGTGTGAGGCAATGTGCTGGGGCACTTTACATCTGTCATTTTCCTTAATTCTAACCATATTTTTCATAGAATAATTCTATTCAGCTCATTTTATAGAAAAGGAATTTGAGGCTGAGAGAAAACTATTCTCTCCAAGGTCACCCTGTTAAAAATCATGGAGTGTGATTTAAAAATAACTCTGTATTTGCCTGTGCTTAATGTCTGTGCTCCGTCTTCTAACTGTCATTGAGTGATTCCTACATTCTAGAAACCATACAGTTTGCCTTACTGGTTTCTTAGAGTTTGATCTTGGGGAGGTGCACAAGTATGGAAATGGTTCATTTTCTGTCCAGTCGCTTCAAACATGCTAGAATAAATCCCCTGTGATGCTGGCTGGGACAGATTGTCTATTTTCTAAGTACTTTCAGGGTTTGTAATGTGCATCTTGCATCTCCTATCTAATCTAATGCTTGCATAATTCTCTGTCTGGATCAGAGCAAGGCCTGAGGAACTTGGAAGGCACTGCAGAGAGGGTCTGTTAAAGGGGTTTTCACTCTTCTCCAGGTTAATCTTTTATGGGCACTGCTTCTCTCTCTTTCCCTGCCCTCCTGTCTTTTTTTAAAAAAAGATTTATTTTATTTATTTGAAAGAGTTACAGAAAGAGGTAGAGACAGAGGGAGGTCTTCCATCCACTGGTTCACTCCCCAGATGGCTGCAACAGCCAGAGCTGCGCCGATCTGAAGCCAGGAGCCAGGAGCTTCTTCCAGGTCTCCCATGTGGATGCAGGGGCCTAAGGGCTTGGGCCATCTTCCACTGCTTTCCCAGGCCATAGCAGAGAGCTTGATCGGGAAGTGGAGCAGCCAAGAGTAGAACCGGTGCCCATATGGATGCTGGCGCTTCAGGCCAGAGCTTTAACCTGCTGCGCCACAGGGCTGGCCCTGCTCCTATCTTTTTCTGATATATTATCAGGTAGGAAAGAAAGGGAAGTTGGCAGAAGTCTTTTTGAATTCACTGCTGGTGGTGATAGTTGTCTCTTGGTTTGATGCCCTCAATCAGTTGCAGCCCCAGGTCCTGTACCTGAGTACTGCACCCCACACAGTTTTGCAAGAGAGCCCTGTCCAGCATTGTGTAGACTGACAGCAGCTGGATGGCCGGACAGCTCAAGCTTGTCACTCTTTAGTGGCTTCTCCTAACCCAGAGGATACTGAGATATTTGCCTTGCCAAATGGTAGGTTTAGAGGTTGCTTCCACTGTTGCTTTATTTCTCTTCCTTGTCAATAACTCTTTAGAATATTCTTCCTCTGCTCAGTCAGGTATGGTGAGGATGAGATGTGCTCAAAAAATCTATCAGCTCTGCTCAAGCTCGCTGAAGAATGAGATACCCAACCCACATCTCTACCAGTGCCAGACTCCTCACTGCCCTTTGTAGGGAGTGGTCCCTTCTCTCCTTTTCTCAGAGGGCAGAGGGTAAAGTACAGCAGCCTGCTCCTCCTAGGCCAACTACATGCTTCTGAGGATTGCTTTTTGAGGTTCTCTCTTTCTTTGTGTCTATGAGCTGGCGGCAGAGTGGCAGTGGCAATGACTGTTTTGTCACCTTTTAAGTCCTGAAGGAGAGTTCCTGTCTTCTTGACTACTCTTTGGGAATGTGGGAGCATTTGGTCTTCACTGTCTTTGGCTTAGATGTCATAGTTCTCATTGAGAGGTAATGGGGAAGGTCTTAGGCAATATCTGACTTTGTAGCCATGTCATTTAGTCCTCTCAAGAACACTAGGAACTACCTCCTTACTACTTACATGAAGGATGGCGGCTAGGGCAACAGACTTACTGAGGGAACTTGCCCCAGGCGTCAGCCTAGAAATGGTATGATCAGGCTCCAAAATCTGCCAGGCTCCAAATGCTTTGTGTATGTGCTTTTGGCTTTCCATACAGCATACTGCTCTCTGCTCCATTGTGATAGAGCTTGTGTTTACTTTCGACACAGTTGAGTGCCAGTGCACCAAATTAACACTGTTAATTTTTCTTTTTCTAAGAAAATTCCAGAAACAGATTAGCAGCAGCGGTGAAGTGCTTAGACATAGAGATACATTAACTGTACAAAGCCCCGATATATTTATTTTTCCTCCTTTATTTTCTCCACACATAGCTTTCTTGTTAATGATTGCCTCCAATTCCAGGTCCACACTGTGAATGCTGATGTGAGTGGGTTGTTGCAGAATTATGCTGTATGTGTTGCAGCTTCAGTTATTTTAAAATGCAATTACGTAGAAAGCATAGGCTGCATGCATTTGTGCATATGTAGCCGAGTGTGTTTGCACATGCTTTGAAAAGTCTCCATATGCTCATTTTGTTTTCTTCTTAGTTATAGGGATGCAGAAAAGAATTTCCACAATATCTCTAACAGATGCTCCTATGCAGACCATGCCAACAAAGAGGAAATTGAAGACGTCTCAGGAATTCTACAGTGTACTGCTAATATACTCGGTATATTATTTATATATTTATATGGTTGAGAGAGTGAATGGGGAAGATGGGAAAGTAAAAGTGTAAATGTTTCATTTCTGTGCTAAATAGAGGTTGGGAGAATATAGCAAGTTAAGACCAAGACCTTATCTTTGACCAATTGAATTTTAACACTTTTGGAGATGTTTGAGTAGAAGTTGCAAGCAAGCCATTTACTTGATGATTGGAAAAAACTGTAACATAAATTCCAGGGAAACTTTTCCAATTATTCATATGCTGGTTGTCTTAACCTGGTGTAATCCTTATTTCTCTAGTCCTTACCGTCAGCTGAAATTGTAGGATATTTCTTGCCTCTCAAAGTCATAGTCTGTTATTTCCAAGGGGCACTGGTTGGGGCTGCAGGGTGGCTCAAATATCATAAAGGACTCAGATCCCTTCTGAAGCTGTGTCAGTGAAGCAGGTTATACACTGAGGTCTCTGTGCCCTGCTTTGGGTTGAGGAAATGTGTATGTCAGAGATAGCACTATTTATGATGGGGGGCTGTTCAGGATATTCCCAAAGTAGTTAACAAGTGCTGCTCTAAGCTGCATGGCATCCTGCAGCCTAAAGGTACCATGATGGAGTATCTGAAGTTCGTGGTTTGTGAGTGCTGTATTGAATTTCACACAAAGTAGATACTCTAGCAGGATTTTTTTTTTTTTTTTGCACTAACATCTCAGAGGGAGTTAGTGAAAAAATAGCTCTTCTGGTTGTGCTGGGATTCACCCCCACTTAAGAACCCTAGTAACCAGTAGGGTCCTGGTGGCAGTGGTGGTGGGAACGATAGATCTTCATGGTTGATGCCAAACAAAAGTAGAATCACCTCTCCCTCAGAACTGGGCAAGAGAAATCAGAAAAAACTTGTTTGGTTTCTTTTTCTTTAGGCTACTTTCCCTGGGGATACTTGAGTGCCACCTACAAGCAGGTCCAGGTGACCTCAATTCACAAGTCACCAGTTTTTTTTTTTTAAATCTGTCTGACTCTCAGAGGTAGCCTTTTACACTTCAACTACCAATTGGCTACACTTTCATTCTAGGTAATTTTGTAAACACAAAATATTATAATAAGAAAATAGACCTTCTTAACGGCAGACATTTATATGTAGGTGATTTGTTCATAATAGTAAAAAGGACAGTGCTGGACAGTGAAAAAGATGGTCAGAGATTCATTTCCCTCAGTCTGAGCATACATCACCCAAGGAAACCACATTACTGCAGAAGATGAGACATGAGAATGGAGGGAAAAGGGTTGGGCATTACCTTGTATTTTCAAGGACTCTTCTTTTAGGAGTACCTATTTATCTTATATACTGTGATGTTCAAGAGGTCAAGTGAGATGATGCCCCACCAGGAGGGAGGCATTGGAATATAATATTTTGGAAAACTTGCTGTTTACTTACAAGTTTCTAAATATGTCCATGACCCTTACATTTTCTGTCTTTGTGCTTCTACCTTGAGAGTCAGAGTTCGAGTAGAAAATGTTCAAAACTAATGAATATTTAGATGGTACTAAAGGCATCTGGATTGCAACTTGTAAAAGAGTGTGCAGAACTCACAGAGAAAGTACATCCTGGGTTACAGTGTTTGGGTGATGATTGCCAAGAACAGTGTTGCCCAGCACAGCTTAGTTGTCCTTCAGAAATTGCCATGAGATATAAAATAGTGAGTGGAAGAGCAATAGGCAGTGTGCTACCTGATGATGTTGGAGGAGAAGAGTGGTTTTTACTTATGAAATTATAATTTATAAAGTGATCACATAATGTTAGATTTCCTGAAATATTAACTTATTCTGTTCAGAGATATTAGATGTGAGTTTTCTCCTCCACTAGGGAATACTGGGTTTTTCTCCAGATTTAAAGTACAGAATTAAATTCCTGTAGAATTTAAATCTCTGAAGAACAAAACTACACGCCTGACACGTGTGGACTAGACGTTGGCATGAATCCACGATTGTGTGCCTGAAAGGTAGCTGTTCTCTTCTGAATAATGTCCTCCTTAGCTCTTGAAATAGAGATTCCCTGAGGACAAAGATAGCAGCGTTACCATTCATATTCAATGAAAGCTTTGTTTTTAACAAGTCACTGAACTATGATAAACCTTGGCTTGCTTAGATTTCATTTTTTAATTTAAATTCTCTTGTACAATTATTTGTGGCTAATTCATTGCAAGAAAAGCAGTGTTTTCTGGTGGGGCAGGGTCTGAAGAATGTCCAGAAAAGAAGTTTCCATCTGATTAAGAGGCTTTTGATGCCTGGGAACCTTCTCTGTGGATGCCCGAGGGCAGTATTGCAATTTGACTTGTGTCTATCACCTGTGGGGAGTGTAGTTAGATTTCTGAAGTATTGGAGGCCTGTGCCTTGGCTCACTTGGTTAATCCTCCACCTGCAGCGCAGGCGTCCCATATGGGCACCAGGTTCTAGTCCCGGTTGCTCCTCTTCCAGTCCAGCTCTGCTGTGGCCCAGGAAGGCGGTGGAGGATGGCGCAAGTGCTTGGGCCCCTGCACCCATGTGGGAGACCAGGAAGAAGCACCTAGCTCCTGGATTTGGATCGGCATAGCTCTGGCTGTGGTAGCCATTTGGGGGGTGAACCAATGGAAGGATGACCTTTCTCGCTCTTTCTCTTTTGTTGTCTGTCAAAAAAAAATACTGATGTATTGAAAGATGTGAATCCACAGTTCTTCTACCTTCTTAACCTGATACGGGGCTGTAGTGGAGACTGGAAGTGTGTTTGTTTATTCATTCATCTGTATGTTACTTGTACTGTACCTGCCATCAAAAAATAAAGACTTGGAGATCATTAAGTTAGAAAACATGATCGCAGCAGTAAATTTTTCTCCTTCTAAAATGGCCATCTGTATCTATGTCATCTAAATGCTTGTACAGTTTAATCATTTACTGGGTCTTTGGATTGAAGTTGGAGTTTAGGGGTGACATGGAGTGAAGAGAGATCCAAACTAGAGGGAGAGTGGGAAAGACCATGACTCTTATGTCATGGATTTGTTCTGTTCTGTGCATCATAAGATGCCCAGGAACCACACGCTGTTTATAGAATGGTTCATGCCTAGTAGTAATGCAGAAGAATCATTTCAAGATACCATTTGTTTTGCCATTTTGGCTTTTATTGATGCAGAAACTGGTTGTTTGTATTTGCTGTCTCATCCTTTACAAGTTAGGTATGTTGGGTACATTCTGCTTATGCCATCAGTTGGCTTCATTTGAATGCTCTGATGATCGCTGTGACACTGCAGTACAGTACTCTAAAGAGGCCCTTAAAATTTTGGGAAAAGGCTGTGTAAAGAAAGATGGTTAGGAACAATGCCCCTCCCTGCTCTGTTATTTGTTTATAATGTCTTTTGAATACCAAAATGATCTAATTGTAGTCATCTGAGAAATGTAAACTTTTTCTAGTCATAATCTACAAAGCTTATTTTTAGCACAAGTTCAATAGTCAAAGTGTGTTTATATTGTTATAACAATATATATAAAGTATATTGTTATAACACATGGTATTTAGCATTTTCTTAGAAATTGTACTGGTTTAATGGTATGATGAAACGTGTGTTTAAGGAACTATATGCCATGTTTGCTAATGAAATGTTGCCACTTGATTCTGTGGCTTGGTTTTAGGTAGTGTTGTCAGGGAACAGAATGAGTAGACAGTTAAGGGAGGATCAGTTGCATCATCCACTTGGCCATAAGTTAAATAGAAACAAGGTTATGACTATTTCAGTTTTAATAACTGTTAATACTGTCAAGGGAATTGTGTTTCAGTTGTTGTAGAGCTACAAGATCAGGGAGATGGTGTTGAAAAAAAGACTTCTCACAGTAGGTTAGAGATCAAATAGAAATGAGAGATCTGGGTGAGTTCATTTACTGATGAATTGTAGCAAGCTAAGGTTTGCTGTTTTAGTAAGCGTCAATCATTTGCTAAGGATCGCACAAAACATCGTTTCCTCCTGCCCTTGCTAAGTGCATGTTCTCTCAAAATAATCAGGAAGGACATGAGTGTGAAAAGACATTCATTAACATTTTCTCTGTTTTAAAGGTCTCAGTCAGGGTGATGTTTTATCTTCTCCAAAAACTTAGCACATTTAGAGTCGGAATGAGAGTAATGCTGTCATGGGACTATTTTGCTGGAAAGTGCTAGTGAGGAGGATGGAGAAAATGACCTTTAGGGTTTATTCCTCACATTATTTGCTTGGTATCTGAGATTCTAAAATACTGTGAAGTCAGAGCTGTTTGTTAAGTGCCATGGATTCCAGAATCTTTAGTAGCTATAGAGCTCTTTGTTTTTGTTTATTAAAGTAATAATTTATTTACATGTCAACTTGCCTATTTTTTTGTTTCATTGTGATTTGTGATTTTATGAACCTTCTTTGGTAATAAAATGGAAGGATCAGCTTTATTTGGATTAACTACTTTGGGGATTTTCTTGGAGTAACTCTGCATCATTTAATTATTTAATGGGTTGAATGTATCTAACATTTAGCATCTTGGAGAACTAGTTGATGAAATAACTACTTATCATCTTTATTCATGAATTAATATTGATAGCAAAAGTAAATTTTGCCAACTTATAACTGATAAGTTTTTCAATAACGATAAAATATCTTAAACAATTTAAATTGATTGTATTTAAAAGTTAGACAAAGAGAAGGAGAAATGGACAAAGATCTCTCATCCACTGGTTTACTTCCCAGTTCCCTGAAACAGCCAGGGCTGGGTTACACAAAGCCAGGAGCTTGGAACTCAATTCTAGTCTTTGATGTGAGTGGTATGGGCCTAAATTCTTGACCATCATCTGCTGCCTCCCAGGGTGGACATACGCAGGAGAGTAGATCAAAAATGGGGTAGGTAGGCTTTGTTCCCAAGCACTCCAATATGGGATGTGGACATCCTAGTTACGGTGACAAACCCCTACCTCAGTGCCTTCAGTATTTTAATCAGATGAATTGAAAATAATGTGATTGGAGAGGAAATAGCTT